CTTGGTTTCATTCAAATGAGTTTTGGCCAACACAAGACACTGAATGATGTTCCCACATGGCCTCTTCTTTGAATGTTAGACCTGTAGCCTGTATTTCTGAATGGCACAGTAACCTTGAAACACTGACTAATCTGCAACATAGAAGTGCAAACAATCAACAGAATACTGTATGTACCACATTAGTTTATATTGCATTAAGGAAAAAATCTATCCTTGCTGCAAGTCATCTTATTACAGTGTGTATACAGCAGAATAGAACATGCATTTATACAATGTTTGACATGTTTCATTATATGGTTCAATATCTACATTTTTGAAATATATTTTCCACATAATTATGACGATACCAAGAGTTTAGTTTTCCATTAAGTGGCACCAACAAGATTTAAATTCACAGTGCAGCCATTGGACACATTGTTCTCATTTCTGAGTTATTTATTTATTTTCAAATAAATCCAACACTGCAGAGGATGAAGCAGAAATGTAAGCCCATGGTTATAGGTGTGGTAATAGCTTTGTGTCATAACAGTATTCATAATTATGAGACGATGTAGCCAAAAATGCATCTGAAATCCAGCTATAGCTTAAATGATCATGCTGTGGTTAAAAGTGTGAGGAAAAATAATACTAATAAAAACATAACAAAGAACAGGATTAGAGCTGTTGGTGCCACTGTCTTCATTTACCAAACAAGGATGGAAACAGTAGACCGTATGTTGGTAAGTTCTCTCATATTTTAATGGCTTTTACAGATACTGATGTGATCCTGTTGAGCCCTGTCCATCCAGTCAATGAAGGGGACTCTGTTGCTCTTGGCTGCAAGTTGAGGACAGGAAACTTCAATTCCACTGTTGCATTCTACAAAAATGGGAAACTAATTCAAAATGATGACCGAGAAAAGCTAAATATTCCCGCAGTGTCAAAGTCTGATGAAGGCTTCTACAAGTGTGACTATTCAGGGCATGAGTCACCAGAAAGTTGGATGTCAGTAAAAGGTAAGTGTGAATGATAGAGTTGTAGACAGAGAAGAAATACCCTGTTGTCTCTGTTTCAAAAGATTTAAACAAAAGGATCATCAAATAAAACCAGCCGGCCAGACAGTCTACAAAATCGAAGTGTGAAAATGAAGAAGATTAAAAGGTTAAAAGAAGGTTAAAATGGTCCTGCCCACGTAAAGTATGCAAACCCTTATTTTGAACTAAAACTGTATTTTATATTTTGTCTTTTTAGCCATTTTTATAGAGTGTTGATTGTTTAACATCCCAGTCGTTACTATGTAACCATTCACAATATTTTCCATCTCCACAGTTTTAAGAGATGACTTTCTGATTTAACAAAACATTTACAGACGTCTTCAGACACGCCAGAAAATGCCTGTCAGGTTCAAAGTGTCCTTTGCCCATGATGTATCCCATTGATTGGGTTATATCATTATAGATTAAGCTAATTTTTATTCTTTATCATTGCAGGATCCAGATCTTCACTTTCTGTCTCTCTAATCACGGGGCTGGTTAGTGGTATGTCACTGATTCTCCTGCTGTCCCTGTTGCTCTGTTGTTGGCACAAAAAATCAAAGGGTGATTTATTTATTTATTTTTATTTCATATATTAACTGCCAGACACTGCCATGGTATGGACAGTTATTATGTTTATTTGTAATTCTCACCCATTTAATATTATTACTACTGTCTTCTCCATAGGTACACTTTGTATCAGGTTGGTAAAACACTTTCTTTTCTTGTCTCCAGTGAACAAACACTATGTAACACATTCATTGTAACTTGAACCTGTTTAAAACCTCAGACCAGCCCAGTCTCAGGAAACCAGTCAGGCTGCTGCTGCAGTTCAAACTATGAGCCAGGATGAAAATCAGCAGCAAATATATTCCTCCCTTCTTCACGGTCAGCCACACACCTGTTACAAAATAAGAGCTTTTACAGCTGAACCTTTCTATACTCATGTTTATATTCACAGTTATAATATAGCTGCAAGTTTACTGCACACAGAGTGATTATTTTGTCATTGTCTTGATTCTCACTGACCCAAAGGTGACATGAACGTCTATGAGTCATGTAGACCTTCTGAAAACACTGGTACAGTATAAGATATGTCTTTTTTATTAAAGATTAGATCAAGATTACTGAATAATAAAAATCTAAAATAGTGCAATTGTCCTCATTTTAGGTGGACGAACAGATGACTACAGAAATATCTCTCTTCAGCTCAGAAGTGTCGAACAGAGGAGTGAGTACAAAAAATATGAAAATACAAAACAGATTTTGAATTATAATTGCAAATGTATCATGTAGCCAAAAGCATGTGCACTTCTGAAATCATACCTGTAAATATATGTAACATTTAAGTTTCAGTGAATAAAATCTCATTTGTTTACTGTACCATTTATATTTTAAAGGCCCCTCAGAGTCATTATACCCACATATATTTTCTGTGTTAATGTTACAGGAAAGCGTGATGATCCAGAGGAAACCTCTGACTACCATAACGTAGATCCAAACTCAGCTACAGGTACAAATATTAAATGTACCAAATATTTTGTTTCAGGGATGAAATATGTATCACATATGTGTGTTGGGCTACATATGTGTTAACTTCAAGGGAGCTTTAATTAGATTTCCTAATAATAAGAAGAAACTCATTTGTAGCCCTTTTAAAACCACACCTTCAGTATCATTAAACCTGTTGTTTAGTTAGTTTTACTTTATTCTGTTTTCATTTATTTCATTTTATGTATTTACATTTGAAGGTCCCTAAAGAGAGGCACGGCATCAATAAAACAAGAGAAGGTCAACAGCAACATGAAAAAACAAACAAAAACATAAAAAAAAAACATTATGTCAGTGATATGGCAGCATATGGCTTCATGCTGAGAAAGAAGTATAAGGAAGGTCAGAGAGAGCTTCACTGTGTCTTTGTGGATCTAGAGAAAGGATATGGTGCCAAGCGTGTGGGGTACTGCGTGAGGATGTCAGGAGTAGCAGAGGAGTATGTCAAGGTGGTGCAGGACATGTATGAGGACAGTGAGACAGCAGTGAGGTGTGTGGTTGTAACTTAGCAGTTCAAGCTGGGGGTGGGATTACATCAGGAATCAGCTCTGAGCCCCTTCTT